TTATTTATATACGTTATAATTTCAAACTTACTCTGCTTCTCATGTTGACCTTCTTTTACTGGTTGCGATATTGATAAACTAAATTAGTAATACAAGTTTAGCGAAATTAAACAAAAAATACTAACTTTTTCGAGAAGAGTATTTTGAAAACCATAGTTCAAAAAATTGTTATCAGCCAGCTTTGCATATCGCAAATTAAAAATTGCGTTTCTTAAGTTTGCTGACAAAACATTTTCATAAAGTTTGAGAAAGTGCCTCAAATTTTGGTTTTTGTTGTGACCTATGTTGTGACTTGTGTGCTTAACGCCAAGGTGGCCCATATGCTTTATCGAGATATGAACAAAAAACCGTTTTTCTGCTCAATTTGTTGAAAACGTATATTTTACAACTTTTGCTATCTGACCTAAAAATTGAATGCGAAATCAAATTTAATCACACGTTGTTACCATTGTCGAGGTAGCTGAAAAATATTTTCTACTTGCTACTCTTTAGTTCTTTTTTAATTGCGCAGCGGCAAGACTAGCCCGAGGGGCTTATTTACTGTTCAATAGTTACAGAATTTGCATACAAGAGATCAGCTTTGCAAATAAAAATTCAAAAACAAATATGGTTTCGAACCCGCAATCTTATGACTGCTGGGTAAGAACTCACTACCACTGCATCAAAAAGTCTTAAAGTTCTCCGTTAGTATCATTAAACCGGGATTTTTGTTTGAATCTACGAGTCAGTTTCAGTAGTACCCACAGAGCCGCACCCGAAAAAGAAACAAGAGTAACCACCTAGGCAACACTATATTCTAGTTACATAATAGTTGCAAAGGTATAAAAAATGTATATTAAAATACCAAATTTTATTTCTTTTTTCTAAAATTCCTGGTCATAACGCACTGAAAACAGTGTGCAAGACTAGGGAATCGAAACTCGTCAAACAGGCTTCGAAAAACTGCTCTGAGTTCCGAAAAACAAAAAAAAATCCCCGTAAACAGTCAAAATATTTTGAATTTTTAGCCTCAAAATGTTCAGAGCGTCTAGCTATGAAACTTAAACCCTTTCCAAATAACAGTTTTCACTGAAAAAAAATTACACTCTTTGGGCTGTTCAATATACTTTGTTCATTTCATTGTTTAAAAAACTAAAAAATGAAACTTTTTTAGCCCGTGTCTGTATGTGAAGTTTTTTATTAAAACGTTATTAAAAAAATGAACTATGAGCCTTAAAATAGGTAGAAATGGCGTATAAATTTAAAAAATAATAGCTCAAAAACTTACATGTACCCGAGACGGCGTTTTTCATAAAAATGGGCTCTGTTTTACGCTCTGGGAATTTTAATTACAGTTACCTACCTTCAATTTATAGAGCAAAAAGTCATTCCCAAATAGAGATAACTCAATAAATAAATCATATGATAATTTGACGACTTTTTTTAAAAAATGTACATTGAACTTTCAGAACAAGCTTTTTATTCTACTTGCGGCTAGCCTAATAATTGTCACCAACGACGGAACTAGGATTTTCTCGAGGGAGGGGGCGGATTTTCAACTTCTCATTTTCATCCACCTCCGGTGTGGGGGGAGGGGGGGTCTGAGGGGTGTGTACATGCGGAGGGGGTTAGGATGTTAGGGTGAATAGAAATCGCAGGGGAGGGGGGACTGAACGAATAGCCACCCCTCAATGAAATAATTTAACGGTTAGGCATATGCGAACTGAATCCCCCTTTTGCAAAAGGGGGCAATAGTATAAGAGATCCCAAAAACCATATATAAATCACAGCAATTCAGTTTTTCTCCACATTTCAGTCAGTGTTCGGTTCCCGCCATTTTAGGTGGCTAAATCGGGGCAGGGGCAATTTTAGGGTTTTCTTGAGAGGAAAGCGGATTTTCAAAAAAAAAAATAACAGGCCAAAAAGGGCGTTCAAAACAATTTCTTATTATGGATTTCTTAAATAACTACCAAAGGGGGCTTTTTGGGTCGGCAGGGGGACGAACCCTTGAGGGGGAGGTAGGTTAGTGTACCCTCTCTGACCCCGCCCCTCTCTAAAACAACCCCATAATTAATTTTTCAAACTAATGCACTTTTCTAAACTAAATATCAGAAAAATGAAAAAGTTTTCAAGTTTCACTAATTTTTATTTAAAAAATTTTGATTTCTTCTAAAATCAGTTTGGTTGAAGTATGCTTTGCTGCTTAATTTTTATGCAAATAAGTTCAAATGAAAACGCTCAAGAATCAAATGAAAATAAACAGAATTCTCAGATTTAAAATCATTGAGCCCCTTCCCCCAAACATCTTTAAATATTTTACCTAAGTCTTTTTTTAAAAATTAAGAGCAATAAACTCTGCATCTTTTTGTGAGTTGCCTTAGCAAAACCATAATCAGAAGAAGTATCCAGTAAACTATTGAGCAGAATGCAACAAGATCTAGAAACGTGATCCAGTCAAAACATGATTTCACCGCTTTTTATTGAGACTTTCTAACTTGATTTATATAAAATTGTTTTGATATATATATATCAATTCTCAGACGAGAAATTCGACCAGTTTTTTTGCTTAGTCTTCATTTCAGGTTGACTAGCGAAGACGTAATTATGCGCTAATCGATCGGGTGTACCTCGGTTTTTATGGATAAACCGGAAGTCAAATCATTTTTGTCAGGTTTTTAGGCTGAGAGTTACCCACTGATCCACGGGACGAGATAGAGATGGTTCGAAACTATGGAAATGTCAAAAACCTAAATAATTTTGCAAATATTTGATATTGAAAAAAAAATTGCATTTTGCTCGTCAGGCGGTTAGAAAATCGTTGATTTATCAGCACTGCAGTTGTTGATTTCACTCTCGAGATCTGAGTCTGCTTATAAATTCCAATGAAATGGTGTCAAAGCGATGGTTCGACAAGTTTGTTTGGATCTGGACCTTGTTCCAAAAGATTTAAAGTGATTAGTTTCAGATTTGATTCAGCCAAAAGATACAATCACCATGCTTTTTTCTGCACGGTTCTTGCACGAATTGCATTAATTTTTGCAAAACTTTTTCTAAGCTAGATATTCTTTTTGCATGAAATATGCAAACGTTTTCATTCAAATTATTAAATGAAAGTTTTTTACTGTTTTTGGTAGGTGTAGAGCTTCTTAAGTTTCTTCTAGTCACTAACCGTGACGCGACCATTCGTAACAATAATTTAAGCGGCAAACCCTAATTCATGCAAATTATTACTATCGTGCCGGATGTAAGCGCAGCGGAGCAAGCGTATTCTACTTGCCAATGCCGTAATACGAATTGTCGCCTGTTACGAATTGGCCTCTTACCGTCATTTGCAGATACTTGGCAAAATTTCACATATGATGTTACTTAATTAAATTTCTTCGAAAGCAAAAGAAGTATAAAAAAGCACATTTGCCTTCAACAACAAGGTGTTAATAAAAAAGCAAGATTCTTTCGAAATTGCGTTCTCAAAATGACCAACGCGTAAAACTAAAACTCTGTGTTCTTGAAGATTTGCCCGATCGAGTTTTTTCGGATTATGTATTAAATTATTATTACAGCAAGAAAATTTTTTTAATAACTTAGCTTTTGCATGATTCTAGTTATACTCTTGCAAGATATGCATTCCGAACTGAAAATGCAAACCTTGCAAAATTATTGCAAGATACTTGCAAGATTAGGATTCTTTCACATGAATTTTGCAAAATTTGCGTTCGAAATACACTAGGGGTATAATATAGGACTTTTGATTAGTTGCGGTTACTTGCATTCAAGATTTGATTCACTCTAATTCGAAGAACTGTACGATTTAGTTCATTTTTCAGATCTGAACTAAGATTGAAATCAGGATTGATTTGAAGATTAATTGAAATTTGATTTGAAGATTAATTTTAGTTTTGAAACAGACTGATAAGACCAATCTGAACAAAATTGAATGTGCTTTGTTCAAAACTTTATTTCAGATCTGATGTTATACTGTTAATCTTCTAACTTTAAGCTGTTCTTCTTTGAGCAGCCAAAATGGGGAGCTGAACTGAATCATCACACAACACAACACCACACAAGTTTATGTTTTAATTACTCCGTGATCAAGTCTTTACTATTTACTAGGAGTGGGTACAGGATTTTCTCGTGGGGGAGGGGCTCGAATTTTTGAAAAACCAGGGGCAGATTTTTGCGAAAAAAAGCTGTCCTCGAGAATTTTACTTCCTTGTAGTTGTCAAAAAATGTTTGTTTTGAACTAATATTGAACTGTTGGCAGGAGGAGATGATGTATCTACAGCGAAAAAGGCCAACGCACGAGCTGTTCAAATCTTTACGCAGAACCAGCTGTTGTGTCCCTATGGTTCAGAATTACACTTTTTTGGAAAATTTTTCTGGAGTGGCTAAAGTTTCTTCGCCCTCAGGCAGTGAACACAGATCTTGGTGGGCTTCGAGCTGCCTACCTTTCGATTGAGAGTGGGAGATGTAATCACTTTAAAATGCGGGAAAATTTTTGTGGGAGAAATTTTTGCTACTTGCACAGCAGCCGACTGCTGTATTTATATAGTTCAGAAATCGGCGAAACTCAAAAAATGTCATTTTCAAACTCAAATATTAAATTAAATGTTTGCTAATTTTGAGGCTAAAAACATTGGGACGACAGACAACTAAGAATTCGGTAAAATGGCACAACATCATGATTAAAGAGTCTTGCGAAAAAGTAGTTAAGTAGCCGTTAATTAGCAACAGGGAAAACGACAAAAAGTGAAATTGCAAGTAACGACGGCTTGCTCCATTGCGCTTGGCTGGCCTACGTTCGGAACCAGTGGCTTACTGCAAGTGAATTAGTGTTTTTAATGCAAGTCAATCAGTTCAATCAGGTTGCTTTCCTTAAAAAAATCTAAAAGAAAAAATATTTTTTTTAGGTAATGAATCCTCGGATTTCTGTTGTTGAAATAATTGGTACTTCATTTTCGCTTTTTTTGACATTTAGACTTATGTGTGTCGTCCCAATTCCTGGTCCCCGTTAAATGTTTTACCTGATGCTTGCTGAAATTGTTGACTGATCCTCTAAATCAAATTCAATTTTGAGTATGATAATTTCGAGCGGCCAAGATAAAGATTATAAAATTTCTCTCGGCTGATAATATTTACGTATAAAATGATGGGAGAAGCGAGATTAAATCTTATTATCACTTACAATTTTTGCTACAGCAATTTTTTTGTATAAGTTTAAATATAATACAAAGATACACCAACTGGACCAGGGTTAAATTCAAAGAAAAGAAACGTTTTACCACAGATATTTGGGAAAAGTTCAAGCGAGAGGAAAAACGTGAACAAAATGAACAATTTAGACTGTCTAAGCGAATAAAAAATAAGGCTATTTATGAATAATTTGGCGAATTAAAAAGGAATATAATGAAAGCAGCACTTTTGTTGAGAAAGCGATCGCAAAAACTGCTGCAAGTTACACGGAAAATGGCAGAGACATAAAAAAAGAAGTTTTATGAGCTTGCGGACGCTCTTAAGGCTTTCGATTTTCACTATTTTTTGTTTTGCTTTTCTTTGCCAACAACTCCGCAAGAAAAAAAACAGCTAAATCAAATTGAAAATCACGTTGGTGACTTTAGCTTACCTTTCTTAGGTGAAAGGGAAATTGTGGCAAATTAACGTCGGCTTTTGATGGATTTTTAATGTACTTTTGTGGATTTAGTGTTAGTACTGCCAAAATAACTCAGAAACACCGTAAATTTGGTTAAATTGAACTTCCAGCTATGAGCTTTTAGGGGGAAATTGGCTCATAAAACATCCGGACCGGTTTTTAAAAACCAAATGGATATTTTACAGTGTTGTTAGAGGTAACCTTTCACATCCTAAAATGCTACTGAGGTGAAAGATTTTTAATTAAAATCTCAGCAGAAAAGAATACACAGATAGCTAGCAAGCAATCTACTTTTGAAGGTGGAGAGAATGCTTTCTAACTACTGGTTGAAAAAAAAGAGCGGGTTGGGAGGGTTGGAGAACTTATGAGGGCTGTGTTCGACTTATGATTCGACCGACACGGTTGAACAGAGCCCGATTTTCGTCGCAAATTAAGACGGTCGAACGAACACAATAGTCAAACAAAGTCGAATGATGAGTCGAACAGGGTCGAATCATGAGTCGAACAGGGTCGATAGAGTCGAACAGGGTCGAATCATGAGTCGAACATTTTTTTTAGTGTAGTCGAGACATATCGAGCCTATGTCGAGTAGGTCGAAACATAAATTGCAAACCTCGACCCGGTAAGTCACAACATATCTGTTTTGGGTCGCGCAAAGTCGCGCAAATGTTTCGGTCACACAAAGTCGCAACATACCCATTTTGAGTCGTAATGGTCGCAACATACCCAATTTGAGTCGCAATGGTCGCAAGATACACATTTTGAGTCGCAATGGTCGCAACATAAGTCCGCGACCTCGACCCGGGTCCCCACCAAAAATTATCAAGTACTACAATAAATACCATATGTTAAATTCAATTTGAGAGTAACTCTTGACGCCGCACGAGCAAAGCTAATTCCCGGTGAAAGCGAAAAAATTCCGATAAAGTCGAACAAAGTCGAACAATGTCCGGTAAAGTCGAACAAAGTCGAACAAAATCGAACAAAGTCGAACCGGTATAGTCGAACAAAGTCGAGCAAAGTCGAACTAAGTCGAACAACGTCCGGTTAAGTCAAACAAAGTCGAAAACGGACATCGTTCGACTCAATAATTCGAAACCGGACACCGTTCGACTGAAAAAATTGAAAACGGACATCGCTCGACTGTTTCGGTCGAATCATGAGTCGAGCACCTCATCCCGGGGGGGGGGGATTCGGTAGACCAGAATGATTGCAAAGGGTTAGAAGAATTCGTACCGTGTTTTGTCCAGTGGCAATAAAGATAGGAATTAGTTGATTGAAGGGACGGCGTTGTTGTTGTTGTTGTTGTTGGTTTTGTGAAAGAATGACCACCTGTTACATCAATCCATGAAAACACTCTTCACGCGTCTGTCCAAAATTTAATCAGACTGTCAAAGAAGTTATAACACTCTTTTACCAACAGAAAACAAAGGTCAGTGAAACGCACTATAGCATTGTCCTAACTCGAACTAAGCGTAAGCCACTCTGTTTAAGATGATAAATAATAAGATTGAGAACCCAAATAAGAGTAGACAACTATGTCAAATATGAGCCCTCAAAATTCTGTACTTGCAGTTTGTTTGCTAGCCTGAAGTTTGCTGAATTATAAAACTCGCCATGATATTCTTATACCATTTTGCTCTCCAATTTCATATGAAGGTTCAAACATCTTTCAGTGCAGACTTAAACAACCATAAATTCGCAATATCCCACACTTTAAAGAATCGACTTCTAACAAAGCCGACCTCTGCCAAACTTGGTCAAGCTTAAAGTATTTTGAACAAGTGGTATGGCTGCATTCATGAGAACAGCTGTGAAAAAATTATGCTTGACCATCAAACGGAAGGATGCAACTGTTATTACTTTTAACACACGCAATCCGAACCTTTGTCGGTTTTCATTTCAGTTTGCTGATCAATATCCTAAAGATGGTTTATTATGAAAGCTTTGGTTTCATAATTGTTTTTTAAAACAATTATAAAAACGGCTTAGTTTTGCCGAGTTTTTGGCCTAGTTTTTGGACTCATCTGCTTTATACCCACTAGAAACTTTCATCTTTTTCGTTTCAATTTTAGAAAAGAGCGGAAAATTCTTCTCAAACCAATGAGAGTCTGACATGAAGATAAGATTTTGATTGATGACGTCAACTCAACAAAGGGCGGCACCGCAGACTTTATTTACTTTGATCTCTTTTGTTGAAACTCATGAGTTGGTTTGAGTTTACTAGCATTCATTCATAAATGTTGTGGATTGGTGCAATTTTTTATTGAGGTCGTGAATGTGGTGATTTTCCTGGGAATTAGTTGGTAGGGTGAGGAGGCTCGAGCTGGGTGGAAAGAATACATAAAATAACCAAGATATCACAAGGGAATAAAAAAGTAATTCGTTCACACGATCTTATTGAGGCTACTTTTAACCCGCAATGCTATTAACATATACAGCATCTACTTCATACATAGGATTGATAATTACCAAGAGATTGAACCATGGTTGACACTAGTCGACCATTGTTTAAATCCAAGCTAGTGAAAGAGAGACATAGATAGTTATACGCTGTGATCATTTTCACCTCAGTTTCATTAGAGCAAGTTAATTCGTATATACTTTTACTAAGTCTTCACCAACATTTTCTGATTGGATAAAACTTCATTTCATCGCAATCAACTTTAAATGACAAAAGTTAATCAACATCATTATCGAAAGAAGATTTATCGGAAAAACATGAAGTTTGCAAAACGATATTATTATTAATTAATATAATCAACAAACTTTACCCACAACGGTAGTCGACAATTTTGTCCACAACTTAAATTAAAAAATGAGATATTCTGGATTTAAAAAAATTGAACTGAGTCTGGATTTAAAAGAATTGAAAAGATTTGATTTTCCCAAAGTTTTGAGGTAACTTGTTTTTCGGTTAATAGGTACCATGCCGTAAGTTATCAAGTTAGATTGACACAGATTGAAAAAACTGATTGTCCTACTGCAAAAAGCAACAATGTCAAAATTTGAGCTTAAGCGAGGAGCTAGAAAATGCCTATGAACCATTTTCACCCGGAAAAAAAATCGCTTTCCAAGTTTTATTTTAGGTAATCGGTCAGCGGTTTGTCGGTGATAAATAGATTTAAACACCAAATCCCAAAAGCACGTGGCTTTCATACGAACTTTCCCTAAGCAAAGAGGTCACAAAACCTTCTCGTTGTTTCGACCATTGAAAATGAGGAGGATCTGTGTAATCGGGTGTGTTTTAGTTTTTTTGTTTTTGTTTTTCGAGCAAAATCAGGTCCACAAATACTCATCGGAATGGGTCGAGTGATATACCATGTTAAATCATATCCTTCAGTTGGTGTATCATATCATATCTTTCAGTCGTGATAAGGACGACAGACAAAAAAAATTTGAAATCTCTTTCACAGAGCCGAAAAACACCGATTTGAAGTTTTTGATTTTTGGCCTAAATTCGAGCTAATAAGGTGACCGCGTATGCTTAAAATAGCTTATTTAGGCCTATTTTAAGACGTGAAGTCTTAGACTTACTCAAGCAAAGGTGCTTTTTGGATTTTTTAGCGCAATTTTGTGAATCTTAAAAGTTCTGCAAAAAAACTTGGACAAAACTTTTCAATATATTTTTTTTGTTTTTCTAGTCATTTTTTTTAAGCAACTGTTTTCCAATTGAACTATTTTACGATGACTCTCAATGATGCCTAAATTCTATATTCTCGATCAGATTTTTTTATCACAACAAGCAGCAAAAACGATACCAATTTGAAAAAAAAATTCCTTTTTGTAAAAGTATAG